TGCATTCCAATGCCTACCCAGAGAGATTCTGATTTACCAAGTCAGAGATGGGGCCTAGAAATCTGCATTTTAACAAACAGCCCCAAAGGATGCTCCTGTAGGTGGCCTAGAACCCACATGTTGAGAAGTTCTAGTGCAGAGAAGCCAGGTTACCACTCCAGCCGGGTTCCACAGAGGCTGGTATCCAGTTGCAGCTCTAGTTGAGTCAAGCCTCAGCTAGGAGAGCGTTTCCAATACTGTTAATTATCCTCATGATGACTGCTGTTTTTGAGAGCCTACTCTATACCCTGTACAAGATGCCTATTTAATTTTCATAGTAGCTATGAGGATAAGTAACTTACAGAGCTGAGGTTTGAACCCAGGCCCTTGCCCTTTCCACTACACCAAGTGACTATTGCTCAGTAGACTCCTACGTCCACAGCCATTGTGACTTCAAAGACTTACAGTTGTTTGTGCAGAAGTGATATTGAATGGAAGGGGTGGGGGCACCCCGTATCCTCTCCTCAGAGGCCTACCAAGGCCCTTTGTGTAGTGTGACGTCAGGGCCTAGCGGTTGGGGCAGTTTGCCATTAAAAATTAGCTTCTATTCCTGTTTCTTTTGTCTGGTGATCTGACCCAATAAATTGCTTTCTGTTCCCTGAGCGAATGGCAAAAACATAGGGCTAAACATAGCCTCGATTGTTTTTACTTTTCTCATATTGTACTTCTCAAAGCGATAAAGATAGAAACAATTAAAATATTATCTGCCTGCAGGCTGCACAAGTGGCCACCTGGCTGGTGTTGATACACCGTAGCAGTACTTTACATTTCCAGAGTGTCTTAGACGTGACTGCCAACCAACGCATCTCCTGGCTGAGTCGCACATGGCCACAAGGCCCAGGTGGGGCAGATGGTTCAGGGCACAGCCCAGGTTGGACTTACCCGGCCAAGGAAGACTCACCTTTGCCAAGGACAAAAGACACATGAGTCCAAGGGAGCGCCACATCCTCTTGTAGCTTTTATTTCAGTTTGCAATCCAGTCCTTCATCCGTGCACCAGACTCAGGTCTGCTGTGTGCCCCGCTCCGTGCTCGGCACCGGGGAGCCTCACTGGGGCTGTGCTTGAGAGTCTGTGGCTTAGGAGGAGAAGTAGATGTGTAAGCAGATCAGTAATTACAGTTCGGGTGCACAGAGCTAGGAGAAGGTGCATCTTCAGCGGAGCTTTGAGTTGGCTTTTTAAATGAGGAGACTGTCTTGGTGAAGGGAGGATGAAGGCAGGAAAATAACATTCCAGGCCTTTGCAAAGAGTGAAAGAGCTGATGTCTGGGGGAAGCGGCACTTCCCTTCACAGTTAAAAACTGACTGAATCCTCCGCCCAACAAAGAAATCTTATATATTAGGCCATAGAGGCTTACTCTGTAACACAGGATGAGTAGGTCCTGTAGGAATTCGTCATCCAGCTCTGATGTCCTGGGTTTTGATAGTCCCCTCGAGGCCCCGCGAGTGGGACTTCCAGCCTTTCTGCATGTAGATCTTACCTGTGCTCGCTCCCGCAGCACAGTTATTAAACTTTAGTTTTGTAAAGAATCGCTGGTGCGTAAGAATTACTCTTTTGGGCTGTCTACGCAGAGCCGGGGGAGGAGGTGTACTTTGTGGGCTGGTTCAGGGATTCTTCAAGGGTGAATCTGATGCTATATGATTCTTTTCTGACCTTCACTGTCATAGGAGGTTTGATACCTGGAGCGTAGGGTTTGTTGGGGGGAACAATGGGGAGGTGGGCCCAGGTGCCAATCTGAAGCGCTTGCCACCTTTCCCAGAAGCAGCGGGTAACAGCTGAAGGGAATGGGCCACGATAGGTACTAGGTGGGGGCTTCAGAAAGTTCTCTAGAGGCAGTGAGGAGATAGGACTGGAGTAGGGAGGCCCTGAGGAGTCCCTTTAGGAAGCACCAAGATTGCAGGATGGCCGTGGAAAGGAAGGGCACTAGCAGATGAGAGAGAGGGCGTGTTCCTGTTTACCTGGCTCCCAATTCCCCTTTCTTTTCATGATTTCCCTAGAGGTGGGGAAAATTCCAGGCCAGTGGCACAAAGATGGAAGAGAAGATGGTATCCTCTGAGAGTGGGATTAACTCCTTTTTATCCCGGGTTTCCCTGAGACCTGATGGAGACACAGTCTGTAGTATGCCTCGGGCTCCGTGCGCGCTGGCCACCCTCACCACTCCGTGCCCAGCCCATTGGTTTCCTCCTCAGTTGGCCACATTCCTGCCCCATCTGGTGCCTCAGTGCCTTGTCCCAAAAGAGAAGTTAGTGGCCAGCGTTTTTGTATGGCAACTTCCTGAACACCCAGAGGAGTCAACCCAGAGGAGGGCGGGCTATGGGCCCCCACCCTGACCCTGGCTCACCTCCTGAGTTAAGCAAGGGCACAGCACCCGTGGGCTTGGTGCCCACACCCCCCACATATTTGGTAATACATTTTTTCTCATAGAACATTTGGAGACTATAGAAAAACTAAAGAGAAAAAATAAATTAACCAGTTCTCTGCCAATCCGCTATTAGCATTTTGGTTTATTTCCTTCCTACCACAACATACACATTTTACTAAGTAGGAATCACATCGTCTATACAGTTTTATATCCTGTTTCTTTACACTTAGCTTTATATTACTAGCATTTCCGCACGCCATTTAATATTCTTTGAAACTCTGCTTCTTCATGCTCCATGTTATTCCTTGATAATTGATTTAACCAGCCCCCTGCTGTAAGATGTTTAAATTATGTTTACCATTTTGCTATGACTCATTTTGATGAACATCATCATACATAAATCTTCACTTTCTTCTTAAGATAACTTTGTTTTCTTTTAAGTCAGATAACTGGAATAGTTGTGACTCTGTCAACAAGAGTATATTTTCTTTAATTTTACTTTATAGTTGGTCATGGTGACTCATGCCTGTAATCCCAGCACTTTGGGAGGCCAAGGTGGGCGGATCACTTGAGGCCGAGAGTTTGAGGCCAGCCTGGCCAACATGGTAAAACCCCATGTCTACAAAGAATAAAAAAATTAGCTGGGTGTGTGGTACATGCCTGTAATCCCAGCTACTCAGGAGGGCGAGGCACCAGAATAGCTTGAATCTGGGAGGTGGAGGTTGCAGTAAGCTGAAATCATGCCACTGCTCTCCAGTCTGGGCGACAGAGCCAGGTCCTGTCTCAAAAAAAAATTTTATATTAGTTTATTGAACTTTCAGCTGCTGACTAGTGTCAAGCTGAAACTGATTTAACAGAATGGTGAATACCTAAAGGAAGTGGTTTCCTTGGGTGCTGAAGCATATTTGAATATCCTAATGGAACTTGCAGGAAGGTACTTTGGCTGATTTTTGGAGGAGCAGGTATCGAGACCTGCCGTAGTCAGGGCCTGAGAGATCTCAGAGGTGAGATGAACAGCGTGTGATGAATGAATCGGATGTTTAGCGACAGTCCTGCTTTGTTGCAGCCGACTTGCCTGGGCTTTTGTCTCCCTCCTGCATCTCCAGCTTCTGAGGCGCTCTGTGAAGACAGCCTCTGGACAGTTTCTTCCCATGTTCCCTGCCAGGGTCCCAGCCCCTCAATCCTTATCTCGTGACCTTGGCGGGATGCCTGAGAAGAAGGACTACCACCGTTAGCTCTGCCTTGGCTTTTATTCTGGGCTCCTGGCCCTCGCTTTGTAGTACAGAAAAGGGCCTGTGCTCTGGGGCCTGACTAACCTGGGTGTACATCCTGTCAGGTATTAGCCATGTGGCCTTGGGCTAGTTGCTCAATGTCCCCCAAGCCTCAGTCTCCCCATCTGGTCCGTGATTGTACCTGTACACAGGGTGCTGTGTGGATGACACAGCCCAGGGTAAATGCTCAGTAAGTGATCTGCATTGCTCTGAGACCCGGCGTGCATTTAAATACCTACCGAGTAGCATTGCAGGTCTCACTTCTACTCTCTTGACTGGCTCAAGCCATCCACATGTGCATGGTTTGTAAATATATATAGGTTCCAGGAAATAGTGCTGACGAGTTGTTCCCTGACAGCACGGCATATTTCCTAACTTTGCTTTTCTACTATAAACTTGAATACAGGAGCGATGTCAAATTTATCTTTGCATCTCTTAAAATTCCCAGCATGGTGCCTGATTCCATAGTAGAAATACAGTATCTAGTTCTTGAATATTTCACAGAAATAAAGGTTCAAGTGCAAATGTAGCATTTCATAGCAGAGTAGCTTATTTATTCATGTATTCAAGTAAAGACCTGAATACATAAGTTTAAGTGGTGCCCTTAAGTCTGTGAAGACCAAGACTTGTCCTTACAGATTTTAATTGCTTTAAGTGAAAAATCGAGTGAACACAGAGAAAGCGCTGTGATTGGCAGCCATTGATGATATTGGTGTTGAGCATTTTGGTGGAGGTGACCTAAATCAGTACAAGCTCCAGCTTCTATTCTTAGCAAAGGCTTTAAAGGTGGCATTTGGGTGAACTAACCTGGCAGTGCCCCAGCCATCTTGTGTCCTTGGCCATCTGAGGTGTTGAGAGACATTTTTGGTTGTGGTCTTCTGCCGGGGCATCAAGTCCCAGTCCTGAGAGCTGCAGAGAACCTAGCGGCACTTAACACGTCTTGTCCTGACTCTTGCCAGCCAGGGCAGGGTTCAGGGTGATTCGGTTTCCCATCCATAAGATGAGAAGGCATTTTGGATGAAAATTTGCTTTGGATTCTCCTGGGAGGCAGTGTGGTATACTGGAAAGAAAAACCCTATCAGGAGTCCCAGGGGTATATCTGGATTCTAGGCCCTGCTCTGCTTCCACTTCCAACTCAAAGCCTTGGGATTCACCTCCCTTCTCTGAACCTCGGTTTCTCATCTGTAACATGCGGTTGGACTGGATGGTTTCTAGGGGCCTTTTGGCTCTTAAGATGCTATGTTTGAAATGGGCTGTTGGTGTGGAGCTAATAGAGGGCTGGAGTGAAGGCCTTCTCAAATTCTGTTTTCTCCTTGTCATTTATGAACCAGAAAATGACAGATGGCGAGACCTGGACAGGAAATGCCCCCTTCAGATTGACCAACCAAGCACCAGCATCTGGGAATGCCTGCCTGAAAAGGACAGCTCACTGTGGCACCGGGAGGGAGTGACCGCCTGTGCTGTGACCAGTCTGATCAAAGACCTCAGCATCAGTGACCACAATGGGAACCCCTCAGCACCCCCTAGCAAGCGCCAGTGCCGCTCACTGTCCTTCTCCGATGAGATGTCCAGCTGCCGGACATCATGGAGGCCCTTGGGCTCCAAAGTCTGGACTCCTGTGGAAAAGAGACGCTGCTACAGCGGGGGCAGCGTCCAGCGCTATTCCAACGGCTTCAGCACCATGCAGAGGAGCTCCAGCTTCAGCCTCCCTTCCCGGGCCAACGCGCTTTCCTCCCCCTGTGACCAGGCAGGACTCCACCACCGATTTGGAGGGCCGCACTGCCAAGGGGTGCCAGGCTCAGCCCCCTGTGGACAGGCAGGTGACACCTGGAGCCCTGACCCATACCCCATGGGAGGGGGCCGGCTGGACCTGCAGCGGTCCCTCTCTTGCTCACACGAGCAGTTTTCCTTTGTGGAATACTGTCCTCCCTCAGCCAGCAGCACACCTGCCTCAACGCCAGAGCTGGCGAGACGCTCCAGTGGCCTTTCCCGCAGCCGCTCCCAGCCATGTGTCCTTAATGACAAGAAGGTCGGTGTTAAAAGGCGGCGCCCTGAAGAAGTTCAAGAGCAGAGGCCTTCTCTAGACCTTGCCAAGATGGCACAGGTAAGAGTCCTGGCAGCCTGGAGTCACCTTGGTGCTCACTGGAGCCTCTGCTGGTTCTGGGCCATCCTAGACAAGCATAGAACTCTGGTTTCCGAAATACCCAGGAGTTGGTTAATTTCCTTGTTTTTTAAACCTGTTCAAAGATAGCTTATTTCCAGTTGGTTTTTAAAACACGTTTTTTTTTTCTCTCTATTTACAACCAAATATTCCCTTTCACTGTGAGCATAGTGCTAGGGGTACAAGGGCAGCCAGATGGTGAGAGGCGGGGCGTTGGTGGGCAGACCAAACACTGGGAATCCCCTCTGGCCCTTCACTGGAGCCGTCTCTCCCAGGAAGCCACCCCTGTAGCTGCTGCAAGAAACATTCACACACACTGGGATTCAGTGTCCCTTGGATGATGCTGATCCTGAGATTGGGCTTGTGGGTAATGGTTGCTGAGAGCTAGTGACTGGGGGCAGTTCATTCCTTTGATTAAACTGTTGAAATATGAGGCCGACAAGTTGTGATCAGTATCCTCTGAGCTGCTTCTGCAGTCATCCTTGCCCTTCACTGTAGAGGAAGTGTCTGGCCACATGCTCCTGTCACTTGGACTTTATCCTCTTTGTCTTGGAGCCCTGCCTTGTGCTAACACTGATCTTGGATGTTGATTTGAGTGAGATGAACTTGGAGTTAATACTCCGTCATCAGGAGAGGCTCTGAGCCTGCTGCCTCTGGTCGTGGCTGGGGATGGCAAGGTGATCGTGAGGCCCAGGAAGTGGTGCTGGCCGCCATGACCGCTGACTCAGGGATCAACGCGCTTGGTTCTGTGTTCATTCAGGACGCCGTCAGTTGCTTAATGCCACGGTCTGACCATCATCTTTTCTGGACTTGTTTCTATAAACATTGGTCCTCACTGGGTTTGAGGGTGAAGATCATCTTGTTGGTGAGGATGGTTTCAGAGGGGTTGGCCTTGGTCACTCAGCATTTTGGCCAGATCCAGGGCAGGCAGGATCATTGTGCTCACTGTGTTTCAGGCGGGCATAGCTGACTTCCTTCAGTGCCTGATGTTGCTTTCTCAGTTGGGTCTTCTTTCCTTTTACAAAGAGAGTGCAGTTTCTCTTCATGGGGTTTTGCCCCTCTCTCCTTTACTACCTACTCCTAACATAGAGGTCTACCCGGAAGGGAAGGGGTGCAGGTGTCTTAGGTCCAGAGCATACCTGGCCCCGAGTCCAGACTTTCTGGCCACCTTTGTTCAGGAGCCTGGGCGCTGGCTGGGGCAATAGGAGGGCAAGATGGTGGTATGCTTGTGCCTCCTCTGTGCCAGTGCGATCCGCTTGGGGGAGGGCCTGCAGCGGTGTGGGGCGGAGCTGCCTCTCATCCAGTTTCTGTTTCTTCCATTGCGGCTCCAGGCGTGTGCCATTCTCTTTCCTGCATAGTGGACGTTTTTGACTTTACTAGCTGGGCAGGAATTGAACACATTTATTGGATACCCAGAGGAATTTCCCCTCTCTAGAAAAGTTTACATAGGTAAAAAGGCTGGAGAGGTGACAGATTTGGGTGACTTCTGACGAAAACCCACAGTCCAGAGCTCTGGGTATGATAACGGCTTCAGTTAAATTTTTAATGCCGAGCATATTTTATTACCTAATAAGCTAGATAGGTAATAAAAGCAGCATACATATTATTATATTTTACTAGCCACAGTTGGAATAACACCACTGGCATCATTGGAGACATTTCCTGACCTCGTTTGGTGAGAAACTATTTAAAAATAATATTGCTCGGTGTGGCTGTGCCCAGTTGTATAGACGGCTTCGTTGGCTCCAGGCGGGCCTCCTGGATCTGGGAAGTGCATGGAGCCTGCTCTGGTTCAGCCTGTCTGTCCTTGGCCACCTGCTTGGCAGTGGGTCCCGGGCACAGGGAAAGTACAGAGGGGTCTCTGGGAAGCATGTGAGCCCTGAGACTGGGCCTGTGGACGCTGAGCCATGCCCGCACCAGGAGTCTAGACACTGGCCAGCCCTCTCTCTGTCAGACTCTGCCATCAGATGATTTCTAGCCTGGGGAGGTGGGCCTTGCTCTTCTATGGGGCCCTGAGAACAAGACCTAGGGTATCCCTGTGTGTTTGTCAAGAGCCCTGGGCGTTGCAGGGCCTCATGCATGGGAACCTGATGAGCTGGGCGTGTTGCCGGTGTACAAGGACTAACATGTTGCCAGATGGCCACTGAGGTGGGACCACTGGCCACAGACCCTAGCATCTGCGTGCTGTGGCTTCACTCAACATTTGGGACCACTGAGAAGGGGATGGGGCCTGCCCTGCCTGCCCATGGAAGTAAGGCTTGGAGTTGGGCTTTCCATATCTTTGGAAGGGCAGGCTTGCACCTTCCAGGTGAGGCCCGCTTCCTTCCACCGTTCTCTGGCCTCTCTTTCCTGGGCCTTTGGATCTCGGTTCACACCTTTGCCTTTGGGGGTGAGAGCTACACTTTACATTCTTGTTCTTTTTTTCTTTTTTTGAGTCGGAGTTTCGCTCTTGTTGCCCAGACTGGAGTGCAATGGTGCGATCTCGGCTCACCGCAACCTCCGCCTCCTGGGTTCAGGCAATTCTCCTGCCTCAGCCTCCCGAGTGGCTGGGATTACAGGCACGCGCCACCATGCCCAGCTAATTTTTTGTATTTTTAGTAGAGACGGGGTTTCACCATTTTGACCAGGATGGTCTCGATCTCTTGACCTTGTGATCCACCCGCCTCGGCCTCCCAAAGTGCTGGGATTACAGGCGTGAGCCACCGCGCCCGGCTACACTTCACATTCTTGTAAAGGTGCCCTTCGTCTGTGGGCTCTGAGGCCAGGGGTGTGAGAGCCTCAGGTTAAAGGTGCAGACAGCCTTTTCAGTTAGACCTTTGGAGCAGCTGGCCATTCTAAAGAGCCCCAGCTCCCCTAGAGGCCCCGACTGGGTCCCAGAGCAGATCTTGAGGGTGTGTGTGAGAACACGGGGGCTTCCCTCTGGCCATCACACGGTGTAGCCAGATGGGCCGTGCTAGCTGGAGCCCCTCCAACCCGCCGGCAGGAAAGGGACCAGGGAGAGAACCCGAGAGAGTAAGAGGGCTAGAAGCGCTGAGGTCCCAGGCCCTGCCCTTGTCTGTATCCACAGTTGAGTCCAGCAGGAGCAGGCGCTCTGGGTGTAGACCCTGTGCAGGGGATGTCAGGAGATGTGACCTCAGAGGTTGGCCATTGCAGTCCCTCCTGAGGAAACAAGCTCTGTTGGTCCCCTCTGTTGGCTCGTCTGGGCGTGGTGTTCACTTTTGGGTCTGCATTTAGAAGGTGACATTGACAAACCGGAAGGCCTCCAGAGGTGGGGCCAGAGACTGGAAGCCCTGGGCAAATTGCTTAACATGTGGGAGGCCAGGACTTGGGAGGTGCAAGGGAGGCGACGTGTGTGGAGAACGCGCTTATGTGTATGTGTGTGTCGGTCCATGTGGGTGTGTGTCTATAGCTGTGTGTGTGTATCCACATCTTTTGATATGCACGTGTGTGCATCTGTATCTGTATGTACATAAACGCCCCACCCGGCGCACTGGCTGGCCCAGGGTGGGTGCTGACAAACATCCGTGATCATCGTCACAGTCACAGGACTTGGAGGAAAGGTGTGGGCTGCTTCTAACAGAACGAGGAGCAGAGGGTGAACATTCCCGGGAGGTGCCCTCGGTCTGCTATGAGAATGCCTCTTTTTCTTTGTCCACCGTTTTCCCTGTGTTCCATCCTCCCTTTTCTGTTCATGCCACTTTGTCTTGTTTGTTCACCTTCTTGCCTCATCGCTTTTCTTTGGTAAATGGGGAGGAGGCCTGCCCTGTGGCTCGGCTCAGCCTGCGGTCAGCTCTGTTCAGAGCCCAGGGTTATGAAATGGTGACGGAATCAGATTCGCACCCCTCGCCAGAGGAAGTTGGCCGAGTGTGAGCATTCTCATGTCTGTCGCCCTTGAAACTAGGGTGGAATATCCCAGGGGCCCGCCGGCCACCCCACCCCTTCCGAGCCCATCCCTGGGGCACAGCTGTCCAGTTAACGGCAGTGGGGGCTCTTGTCTCTCGGGGATGACATGCACTGGGTGGGGTGTAGGCCTGGCTTTCAGGTGGTCTTTGCTCACGTCTTCTTAAAACCCAGTGCCAGGAGAGCAGGCAGAGCTGCTGAATGAGGCCGCAGGTGAGCAGGCCATCTGGGTCCTCAGTTGGGGAGGCTGACTAGTGAGGAAAGCCCTGCTGGGGAGAGTGACGCAAGGACCTAGGGCAGCAGTGTCCGCCCTCCCTGGACTTGTAATTACAACCACTCGGTTCCACAGAGCAAGTTGCCCACAGGCAGCTCAGAGGACTCGTTTCACTGTTACCACTACTCCAGCTGGCCCCGGGACCTCCTGCACAGCCTCCCTCCTCACGTGGTGTTTTCATCCCGTCTGGTTGCTGTTCTCTGTGACGCTGTGGCCTTCCTTTTGCAATATGACAATGTGTGCCATTGAGGGCAGGGCCCAGCCTGAGGGTGTGAGTTGTTTATTAGCAGGACTTTTGCTGACATTTCCCTTACTGCTTTTTTGAGACCTGGTTTGACCACCCAGCATTGGTTGGCTCCCAGCAAGACTTGAGCTATAGGCGGCCATTTAGACAGGGATCACATGTGTATGAGTGAAGATTTCAGAAAAAAGCAACAATGAAAAAGATCACCCATTGAATACAGTCCCCCGGGTGTCATAGTCCCTGCTGTATTTTTAACTCCAAGCTGGTCAGCTTGAAAGAGCAACAAATTGTATTTCTCAGAGCTTCAAACAGAAGCAAGATGTTTGCGGGGAGGGGTCGGGATGCCGAAACAGAGGTTTGATTGATTGCAGCTGCCCACACACCGAGGCCCGAACCCCCCTGAGCAGGCCTCAGAACAGGCAGCAACTGTTGTGTTAGCAGATGTTTGAGGGGCCGTGAAAGCTGGCCAGGGGCAGTTTGGGGCAGAAAAGAAGCATGAGGTAGAAACCAGCATGCCAGCACGCC